ATCCCAAAATTGCCTTAATCTCAGTAAATTGTGCAAATGGTTGAAGGAACATTGGGTCACCAATGTCAAGTAAGTGGAATGAGTCTTTGAGTCAAATTTCAAGAGATGTTTCCAAACAGTACTCACATTTTTGACTATTAGAAATATTCCTCGTTCATCAAATTTCTGAAACAAATGTTAAACTTAATAAATTATTGATTTTTATTGTAAAAGATTGAATTAGAAAAATGTTAAATTTTGCAGCTTTTATTAATAATGTAAAGAAATAGGATTGAAAAGTATTGAAATCTAAACAGATTGGATTTTATCAAATTTCTTATGCGATTGAATTGAATAATCAATGGCTGGTACAAGCTTTTTTGGCATAATTTAAATTTCTTGACTACAATCATATTATTTGTAATATGTAGTAAATATATGCCCATGGATACATATACAGTTATAAATTTTATCACTAAAACCCAATCCTATTATTATTAAATGAAAATATTGTCAAGAAGTGAACTTTTCTCCCATCATTATAATTGAATACATAAACAAGCTAGAAAAATTAACTATTATTAAATAAATAATGAAGTTGAGTGTCAAGGATGCTTTCCACTGGGTATCTTTTCTAATAATTCAGCATATTTTGGAAGATTTTTATTTAAAGTCTGTTAAACAGCAGTGACCCAACACTCAACCATTCTAAGAGATGTCTTATAGTAATGATCGACAAATAACACACGATGAAAATAGATTCCTTATTCAATTTACTATTTGGTATATTAAAGAGTAGGAATCGTAGATATTGGATTTGAAAGAGTGGTGAAAACCTGAGCTGATAGGATTAGAAATGATAAAACTGCAAATGTTAATAAGCATAAAATGAGTCTCCTTATGAAAATATAAGGAAAGGGCTAGGATTTGAATTGGAAAATATGATTAGATGAATTAAATTGAGCAAATTTTAACATTTAGAAAAAAAGATAAGGTTATTTTATATGTATAACTTGCTATAGCAGGATCAAGAGAAACTAAAAACTACCATCAAAGGATGAGGGCACTAGACTTAAAACCAGGCATAAATAAAAAAGATGCACTGAAGTGTGGTCATGAAAAAAGGATGTTATTATTGTTGCCAAGCACCTGTTGACTACGTAAAGTCCAGTGTTATATTTTCAAACTTGGAGTTTTACACACAAACGAATGGGTCATAGTTTTGTTAGTTGTAAGGTCCTGGAGAAACAGCCTTCAAGCTCTGTAAAAACATTGGCTGGCGCAATTCAACCACAAAGATCATACAAATGAAAGGATACCTGGAGCCGTCCTAAAAGGAATCTGGTGTGAGCCATAAGCTAAGTTGGCAGGGTGTCTTTAATCTAGCGTCTAGCCAAATAATTCTTTTGTAACTTTATGAACAGATAGTGCTATCTATACAAATTCTACATTTTTGTAAAAGTAAATTCATAAATAAATAAGAGATATGCCGAAAAGCTTATGAATGTCAATCACTTTGAAAATCAACATTTTGATATATCTGATATTTTGTTTTTCAACAACTAGCTGTCAAAATGTTTACTTGCAGAGTAATCAAATCAAATCAATTGAATCTTCATCTTAAATTCTTAACTAATTGAAATACATTACGTATCTAACTTCTAATTTATTTCTGATATTTATAATTCTAAGTTACCTTGGTTGACAAAACAAAATTATAACTCAGTTCCAGAAGTTTGTTAATGCCAGCATCACCAAACGAATATTGATCTTTATCCGAAGTACAGCCTTCACTTTGAAATAACCATACCGATTCATACAGCTGCCAAATCAGAACTAATGCGGCCACAGACACTGCAATCAAGCGTATATGTCTGCGGCCAAAACCGATCACATAAAACATTTACGACTGTAAACATAAACAAACTACCGGGCCCGTTCCATTTATTCTTAAATATAGAAATGTAGTTGAGTTACCTTCTGTTGAGAAAATAATCGGTTGAACGTTGCACAAGTTACACATGTTTTTAATATCGTATCGTTTATTATCAGCATCGAACTGATTGCCTAGTGATTTCTTTGCACAGTAGAACCAGGTGCCTTTTGATCATTTTTCCACTATCCCGTCGCTCATATATATGTATATTGTCCAATCGTTTTTTTCTCACTATAAAATAAACTTTACTACTGGATGCAGGAACAGCATTGAAGTCACACATTCATTTTGGTTGAATGGTTAACCAAGAGTCTACAATTCACATCTGAAATATGTCTACAAATTTTGGCGGCTTTAAGTGGTTAGTGGTTAAGGTCGCTTTGGTGCTATTTTCAGTGCGTGCAGTGACCGGGTTCGATTCGAATATAACGCATGCACGCATTCATATGCATACGATGTTTGTCGGTTGTCGATTTATCTGAACCTAGGAAGATGGTAATAAACCTTTAACTTTTTGAATTATTATAGTTCAACGATCAGGTTATGTAGTATATTTCAATTTCCGGTTGTACGGTTGTATGGCAGAAACTTCACTTAAGTTTATTTAAAAAACAATGTATTAAAAAATAATGAATGAATGAAAGAAAGAAAGGCCACAAGCCAAAAGATTCTTTTTTTTATTTCTATGCTTTAACCTAACCCATATATAGAATATAATATGTTATAATATATATATAATATAATAATAATAAGTAATATAGTAATGTTATATTATATATATATATATATATATATATATATATATATATATATATATGACCTAAAATAGTAGTCTAGGCTTTATCTTTGATTTTAGTATGTCTCTTTCTTCTCAGATTAAAAGTGTTGCTAAAAGTTCTTATTTTCATCTACGTAGAATAAAAAAGCTTTTGCCTTTTCTTGACGATCCATCCTACTCTTCTCCTTCTTGTTACTTCGTTAGTCTTATCTAGGATTGATTATTAAAACTCGCTCTACTATGGTTTTCCTGATTCTATATTCTATCCTTTAAGTAAAGCGTTTAACTTTGCTGCTCGTCTAGTTGCTCGTGCTCCTTTCTTTTCTCATATATTTCAGACTGTTCACATTTAGCGTGATGGCGGCACGTTTTCTCGGTGGTTTTGTAATTTGGGTGGTTTCTTGTTTTTTTGCTTCTGAACAAGTGAGCTTTCTTTTTTACTATGACTATTTTTTTCTATATCTTTTTCTATAACTTGCAAATATTATTATGTCTTATTCTAGAGACTTTCTCTTAAGTCTCTCTAACACTCCTTTGTCTCCGACGAGAGTAGTTCGGCGGCAAATTTTTTACTTTATTCTTAAGGCTAATAATAACATTAAAACCAATGAATCTAACTCTAATAAAAAAATATATATAGTTAGTAACAATAATTATAATAATAATACTAATAGCAAGTATAATAACTTTATTAAATCCCACTCTAATGTAATTAATACTAACGATAAGAATAATAATTCTACTAATTTAAATAATATCACTTAATTTAAAAGTACTAATATCCAACCTACCTCTATATTTTCAATATTTATTATTAACATAAGATCAATTAATAAAAAATCGCTCTATATCCATCAAATAATCTCTTCCTCCTTACCAGATTTTTTTAGTCTTACTGAAACTTGGCACGAAGACTCTAACTCTCCCCCTCTTATTCTTGCTACTCCTGATGGTTACAGCTTTTTTGAACTCTCTAGATCTCTAAAAAATCTTCTATCATCTTTTCATCCTTTTTATGGGAGTGTCTGTCTATTTTATAAATCTCTATTTACTGCTTCCATTAATACTTCCTTTAATTTTTCTTCTTTTGAATGTCTTGTTGTATCTCTTAAGTCTTCTTCTCTATCTTTTTATATTGCTGTAATCTATCGCCCTCCTTCTTCTTCTCTCACTTTATTTTTAGATGAATTCTACTCACTCACTGAATCTCTCTACTCTTTTTCTATTCCTTTCTACATCTCTGGTGACTTCAGCTTGCACTTCAATAACTTATCATGTTCTTACACTCGTAGATTTAATCATATTTTGTCTCTTTTTAACTTGACACAATATTGTACTTTTCCTACCCATACTTCTGGTAACACTATTGATTTTATTATAGCTTCATCTTTTTTTTTAAGCCTATTAATATCTCTGTTACCTCTGTTCCTTATTCTGATCATCTCCTTATTGAATCTGTATTTTCATTAGATTTTCTTCCTTCAAATTCTATGTCTATTTCTCAAAAATGCTGGTCTTCTCTTAATAAAGATATCTTTCTTCAATCTCTTACTGAAACTACTTTTGATACTACCTCATTTGTTGATGTTGATGATTTTGTCTATGCTTTTAATATCTACATTACTTCTATTTTTGATAAGCTTATTCCTCTTAAATCTTTTACTTATAGGCTCTATTCTCGTAAGGCTCCTTGGTTCGATTATGCTTGTGTAGTAGCCAAGAAAAGTTTTAGAAGACTGGAGAAAGCCTATAGGTTAAATCTATTCAACTCTCTTTATTTTATCTATGAATCCGAATTGATTAATTATGAATATCTACTATTCTCTAAACACTCAACTTTTTTTAGAAATTCTATAACATCTGCTTCAACATCTAAAAATAGGGGGTCTGCTCTATCTAAACTTCTTCATAAGAAATCCTCTCACTCATCTTTTTCTGCTCAACAGTTTCATGACTTTTTTGTAAATAAAATTACTTTTTTAAGAACATCTAATCTAATTTTTCTTCTCATAACTTTACTTAAGTTACTACTGAATCTTTTTCTGTATTTACTCCAATAAATCTTCTAGAACTTACTAATATTTTTAATTCTATGTAGTCTACAACCTCTATATCTACTTCCTTTTAATTTACTTGAAAAATTTTTTTCAATATTGTATCCAATCAACTCAAATTAGTTAATTTATCTCTTTCCACCTCCAAATTTCCTTCTTCTTATAAGAATTCTATTGTTATTCCTATTCTTAAAAACTCATCCTTATATCATACCTCTTTATCTAATTATAGACCTGTTACTAATAGTACTTTCATCTCTAAAATAATAGAAAAAGTAGTTTTTAATTAATTGTCATCTTATTTAAACTTTAACTCCTTGCTACCTGTATCTCAATCTGGTTTCAGACCTGCTCACAGTACTGAAACTTCTTTACTCAAAATACACAATGATATCCTTCTCTCTAGTGACAATAGTAATCTTACTCTTCTTCTTGCTCTTGACTTTTCTTCGGCTTTTGATACTGTTGATCATACTATTCTCTTGAGGCTGCTACATCTTTCTTTTAATATCTGATTCTTGTCTCTATCCTTTAAGTAAAGCTTTTAACTCTGCTGCTCGTCTAGTTGCTCGTGCCCTTTCTTTTCTCATATATCTCCATATCTTGTTCTCTTGCATTGGCTACCTATAAAATATAGAATAATTTTTAAAATTTGCACGTTTATATATAAGTCTCAATCTAAATTATTTCCTAAGTATTTATCAGAAATATTAATTGAACCTAAACGCCCCGGTTTACGATCGTCTTCTTGTTCTCGCTCCTTCTTAACTTGTGTCAAACACTCTTTTGCCAAATCTGCTTTTGCTTTTTCTGGCATTTTTTTTCTGGAACTCTCTACCTATATCTCTGACTACTTCTCCATCACTTACGAAGTTCAGAGCGGATCTCAAGACCCATCTTTTTTCAAAATTCATTGAGGAGCGCTGTTGAACATCGCGAAAATAGCGCTTTACAAGCTAATTGATTGATTGATTGATTGATTGATTGATTGATTGATTGATTGATTGATTGATTGATTGATTGATTGATTGATTGATTGATTGATTGATTGATTGATTGATTGATTGATTGATTGATTGATTGATTGATTGATTGATTGATTGATTGATTGATTGATTGATTGATTGATTGATTGATTGATTGATTGATTGATTGATTGATTGATTGATTGATTGATTGATTGATTGATTGATTGATTGATTGATTGATTGATTGATTGATTGATTGATTGATACATCTTCATATCTTGTTCTCTTGCACTGACTATCTAAAAAAATAGAATAGTTTTTGAAATTTGCACATTTATATATAAGCCTCAATCTAAATTTTTTTCTAGGTAGTTAACAGATATATTAATTGAACCTAAACGCCGGTTTACGACCATCTTCTTCTTCTCACTTACAAGATCTATCTGTTTGCAAAATTCATTGAGAAGCGCTGTTGAACATCGAGAAAATAGCGCTTTATAAACTAATTGATTGATATATATATACAAATATATATGTGTATATATATAATATATATATATATATTGTTTCATTGTTGATATGGTTGCACCATTACATGAGATTGAATCGAGATATTCTGTTTCCTATTCTGTTTGTCAAGAGTGTAAGCGAAGCTGTAGGAAATTTGAGCGAATGTATAAGAGAGAAGGTGGTAATATGGACCACTTTTTGTTTTGGGCCAAAAAAATATTTAGACAATAGTTATTGGACCCTTAGTCTACCAAACAACTAACAAATATGTATTTTATAATATTTTATGACTAATTTTGGTAAAGAATAAAACTTCTTCTTGTTTTTTTTGTTAGCATACCTCGAAAAATGGTTTTTGGAAGTTGGGGTTGTAAAATGAAACAAATGTAGAAATGAACAAAAAAATGTTTTATTTTCAGAACAATCTCTTTTATTCTTACATATAATTATAGTTTTATACTTTTAAACATAACAAATTGTTTTTATCAATGAAATAAAAATTATATGTAATAAAACACATTTTTATATGGGTTTTTACAAACAAAAGTCACAGATGAAAATATCTTTTTCACATCCACTACATAATATATAAGCCCATTTTAGACATATCACACATTGCACCCAAAGTTCTTCAGATTTTGATGTTTTGAATGTCTCACCACAAAATAAGCAGTCTGCGTCATTATCTTCTGGAACTTCCTGTCCAATAAGATCTAATGTGTTGGAGCTTCCGGATGAGATAAGACTTTCGGTATCTTCTTCATCGCTTGAAGTTTC